TTTTTTCAGAAGTATCATCCTGAATTCTCTGTCATTTAAGTTGCATATTTCTATGTCTATAAGCTTATTTTCTGGAGGTTTTTCTCTTTCTTTCTGAGATGCCTTCTCACCTTGGTTGTTCATGGTGTTTAATGGACTATTTCTCCACGTGGGCATTAATGGAAGTGTATTTGCTGTTTTTCCAGAAAGAAGAATTTTTATATAAAGTTTTCTCTTTAGTCTGCTGCAAGGAAGGCACTTTTCTTTTGGTTTCCAGTAAGTGGTATCTAAGCCTCTTGGATTCCTGCTTTATATAAAGCCTTAATAATGCCTATTTTTTTCTTGTAGATATTTATTCACACTTGCTACCCTCAGTTTCAATACCTGTCAGCGTCAGAGACAGTCTCAGCAGCATTTGCTCAGATTTCCCTGGGGGTCCCGGTGATCGGTCTCAGAGAGTATAGGAGAAGGGGCATTCTGGTTTGGGAGTTGGGAGCTGTGGCTCAGCCTTGGTTTTGCAACCGTGGCTGGAAAATATCAACTGTTATTTCTCTGCGGTCCCGTCTCGCTTCTCTGCTTTCTGTCTTGATGACTGGGCCCTGCTGTCAGCTGTGTGGAACTCACAACTCTCTCAAGCAGGAGGGTTCAGGGAACTCGCTGTACCTTCTCCCCTCCCTGTCCTCCTATAGGGAGCTCTGGCAGCTGCAAGAGGTAACTTCTTTATTTCTCCCAGTCCACCGTCCGACACCCTGAGTTATGATCTGTGGTAGCTCTTATGCGCAGATCCCACACTTATACGTGCTGGTGTGCAGTTTGGGTGTTCTTTGTTGAGTTTAAGATGTTTGGTTTATTGTTTTTTCAAGGGGAGAGATCTGGAGATGTCTCTCACACAGCCATGTTTCTCCTATCAAACTGCATTTTGATTTTATAAATAAATTCAAGAAGTTTTTTTGATAGAAATTTAATAAATAAATCAAAAGCAAACTTAACATAGAAAGGTAAATATGTTTTGTAAATTTTAATACAATGTAAAGATGAACATGTAATTATATTGATTTTTAAATATTACAAATATGACAGATGCAAGAAGGACTGTAATAAATTAACTATAAATAAATAAGTAAATAAACAAATAAAGAAAGAAAGAAAGAAAAAGCAATTAGGCATAAAACAGGCACCTCTTAGGGACTGATGCCCCAGGAGCTGAATTTGTAACATAGTCTTGCTTAATACTCTGACAAAAGGTTTGCTAAATTAACTTCATTAATTTCTGACTAAAGCAGAAAGACCCTTTGGAAATGACTGATGACATATGTACAAGTATGATATGGCACCACCACCAATGAGAATCAGTTCAAGGTGACCCCAGCTCAATTCCTGATTTTATAACCTTTCTAGCAACTTTGTTGATAAAGAGAAGGCTCTCCTGATTTCCACTCTGACAATCTCCCAGGCACAGTTACTGTATTGCTTCTCTTCGAGGTAGAGACAGATGCCCTGGATGTACCTCTTCATGGACAATTTAGGGTCCTCTGTTCCCAGGGCAGATTCTGCCTCTTTCATCTGCGGCACTAAACAGGTGCCCAGGTCTTCCAGCTGCCAATGGAGTCCACTGAGGAGCCCGTGCAGTAGGGTCATGTTCCAGACAGCAGAGTGCTCTGTGCAGAAGATGTTGGAGGTCTCCTGGAACATCTTGTGGAGGACAGAGATGGCCTGGGCCTTTTGGACCTGGCTGCCATCCATCATCTATCTCCTAGGGGAATCTAAAGTCCTTTCTGTTTTTCCTACAACGAAAAGAGCTGATTCTCTGCATTTGGTGCATAAGTGCAATGTTCTCCTTGTTGACTTGGATGTGGTCCGGAGACAGGTTACAGCCCAGAGACCCACCGGGGCTATAGCTAATCACCAGCAGGGCCATGAGTAGAGAGAGCAGGGGGGTTATGGGGAATCACAGAGTGCTGCTGGCCTGTCTGAGCTGCAAGTCTGGGGAGCCTTGGACTCTAGGTTCTGTGATGACATTCTTTCTAAGCATGGCCATTAAATAGGGAACACAATAATTTTCATTTTCTAAACATTTCTCTACACTTTTACTTCCTTTTTTATTTTCATTTATGTATTCTCTGTGGGGTCAAAGAAGATGTCATCAATCTACACTATTAATCTTGCAATAGAAGTTTAATTTTCCCAGGAAACTTGGATGCGTCACTCCCAATAAATATTTATCAATCAATGTTTTTCTCCTAAAGTCAGAAGTGTGTGTAGGTAGGTAATTACATGAACATATGCACATACTCATGTACATTTCTAATACATAAAAAGTGGTCTTCTCTGTGTTCTAAACACAATTTGGCATCAAACCTTGGCAGCACTTTTACCTTTCTTACTTTACATAGGATGACAGGCTGCCTCAACCCTATGAGTTTGTTCAGTACCAAACCATATATAGTGAATAAGCTCTTAGAACCATGTACTGGGATTCGTTTACTCTTTTATTCACAGCAGAGGCTGAAGATCATGAGTGAATGGGGATCTGGGATGTTTCTCTTTCTTCTAAAACACATTCTTGAAGGTCCATGTGGTTATGCTTCGCTGGGACCACAAGGTCAAAACTATGACATTCACTGCCTTTTCTTTCCACCGTGTGTAACTGGTCTGCTGCTACTCAT